GTGCTAATGCCACCGGCTCCACAGCCAACAATACACCCACCTCTATGGTGTTGTGTTGTGAATGTGGTGTTCCCATACAACCAAATCCATCAAATATGTGCGTCACTTGCCTTCGAAATCATGTTGACATCACGGAAGGCATACCCAAGCAGGCTGTTCTGCATTTCTGTCGCAACTGTGAGCGATATTTGCAACCACCGGGAGAATGGATACAAGCTGCCTTGGAATCACGTGAGCTATTGGCATTGTGTTTGAAAAAACTCAAGGGCCTGAAGGAGGTTAAACTTGTTGATGCTGGTTTTGTTTGGACCGAGGCGCATTCGAAACGTATCAAGGTAAAATTAACCGTACACGGTGAAGTATCCGGGGGAACAGTACTGCAACAAGTGTTCATTGTCGAATTCACGGTACAAAATCAAATGTGCGATGATTGTCATCGTACGGAAGCTAAAGATTTTTGGCGTTGTATGGTGCAGGTACGCCAAAGAGCTGAGAACAAGAAGACATTCTTCTGCGCCATCAATTAGGTAATCTATCACCGATTTGTTTGATCAATAAAGTCACCAGTGGCATACATTTGATTGATCCAATGACTGCACAAATTGCTGAAGTATCTGGCCAGGCTTATTTCCGTTCTCCCTTTGAGGCGATTTGTAACCCCAAACAACTTGTGGAATATATTGTAATGGATGTGGAAATCATCATGGACAAGGACCGTAAATATTATCCCGGTCAGGGCCAGTTGTCTTTCCGGCATGTTTTGTGTGATATATGGGTTGTAAGGGCCTCCGAACTGGGTATTAACGACAATCCCATACACACACGTAGTCATTTGGGTCATTTACTGAAAGTTGGTGATTCGGTTATGGGTTATAATTTGGGTGAGGCAAATATCAACGATACGGAATATGATAAACTGAATGCGGAGCAAATACCCGATGTGGTGTTGGTTAAGAAATGCTACACAGATCGTAATACACGTAGCAATCAACGTTTGTGGAAGTTACGCCATTTGGCTGAAGAGGCCACCGATGAACGTAGTAAACCGGATTATCATGAATTCTTGGAAGATTTGGAAGAGGATCCGGATTATCGTAAACAAGTGAATATTTATCGTGATGCCAAGAAACAAATGCCCGTGGATGGTGGCGATACGTTGGGTTTTAAGGATAATGTACCGCGTATTACATTGGCTGAAATGTTGGAAGATTTAACGCTGGAATGTGCCGATGATGATATGGGCGAAAGTGAAGATGTTGCAGGGGAACCGCAATTATAAGACGGCGAGAAATGGGGGTTTCCTGAGTATATATTTTATAATGGAGTTTCTATTATTTAATATACATATTGATTTTTATTTTAATGTAAAATTATATATATTGTACTATATAAATGAAAAAAATGAAGTTGATACTTTTTAAACAAGAATTAAAAAAAAAATATCAACAGAAATGTATTTTATTATTTAACAAAATAATAAATATAAATTTTGAAATAACAAAACATTTTGGTTTCATGTTCTGAGAAGCCGTTGTTTTTATATATTTATTATTTTCACCAGACAATACTAAAGCCTCCAAGGCCAATGAGCAGTATTAACATCATTTTTTTAAGATATCCTGTTTTGGAATTCTGGGTATCTACTCGATTAGTAGAAAAATCACAAAGGAGCTGCAATTGTCCAGAGTGTTTTTATAAAACAATTTTTCGACATAGAATTTTGTTATATTATTTTATTTTGTTTTTTCAATTTTTAAAATTATCCAAAATATTCTTAACAATGGGTAGAATATGTTTTCGTGTTGCTTTAATATTATCCTGACGATAAAATACACCCTGCATAAATGTACAATCCTGATGCAAATGCAATGCTAAATTAGGTTCCTCACGATGTACACTGTTATCTGTGGCATCGACAAACATACCCATTAACAAAATAATACCGCATGCATTTTCTTTGGCAAATTGTTGGAGATCTTCGGCAGCATTTGGTTTTTCAATAAATTTCTGTACCGGCAATGGAAATCCTGGCAAGGCAATTTTAAATTTCCCCGCCTTATCATTTGCAAGTAGCTTAAGATCTTTTCTCAATAGCTGAGCTGGTGTCAGGGCACTGACATCTGACCGGGCCCTGACTAAATCATTAAATAATTCATTTCGTGCTATCAACGAATTGTCCATTGCTTTAAGATAATCTTCTAAAATTGAACATATTTCAATATCTTTTGGTGTTGCCCTTGCTGCTTCTGCAGAGAAATTTACCGTGTCCAAAACAATTGTACTACGTAACAGTTCCAATGCAATTTGCTCGTCCTCTCCAAGGAACTTGTTTTGTATAAACAATTCACTAATCAGTGTGGCACAAGAGCCCACAACATGTAAATTCACATTACAATCATCCGCCACCTTTGCCATAACATCTCTGGGACGATGATCGTAAATAGCTACTGCATTTTTCCACAAGGCACTTACATGATGATCAACCAAGACCAATTTATTGTTCTGTAAAAATTCTTCACTCAATTCATCTCTAAAGGTAAGTAAATCTTCGCTAATGGCATATTGTTTGAAGAGATAATGGACTTCGGTTTTCAGCGGATAATCCCTTCGGGGTATGTTTAATATGGGCAGGAAATTAGTATTGGTTTCACAATTTTTTGGTATCACTTTACTTTGTTGATAGAAATATGCCAAGGAGACAGCAGATACTGCAGAATCGAGATCACAAGATTCATTACCCAGCACAATACAACAGGGTTCCTAAAGACGACCATTCAGAATTAGGAAACAGTGCAGAAGTTTGGAATACTAATCACATTACCTTGGCATTTAAAAATGTTCTACTTTGCCTTAAAAATTTCAACATTCTTTTGAAAAAAAGAGAAAATATCCAATTGGATTGGCAGGTGTATGATGGTCGTGTAAACCAACCAAAATAAAAAACGTTCCGCCTGCTACAAATAGGATGAGACAGTGGAGAATAACTAATAAAATAAGAACCCGAAAGGAAATGACCCATACTAGCCACAACATTTGCGTTGTATAGAAAGAGGCATGGAAGAAATGAAAACAACTTGTCCACTTTGCCTTAAAAATTTCAACATTCTTTTGAAAAGAGAAAATATCCAATTGGAATTGACAGGCGTATGATAGTCGTTTTGTCCCAATTAAAATTAAAAAACGTTCCAATATGAGGAGACAGTAGAAAATAACATAAAATAGGAGCCCGAAACGAAATGATCGAAAACCCCATTGTTTACGAATGAGTGTAATGCATAATAGCCACAATATTTGTTTTGTATAGAAATATACATGGAAGAACTGAAAACCTGCTGAACATGAACTGTTTTGATTCAGCTGAGATTTGATGGTGACATTCACCGTGAATGATTAGCATGCTGAGTCCAAGAGTATTGACAGTCACAGTGACTGTGGCAACGCTGTAAATTCGTTATATCAGAAACCGACAGTATCAGTTATTTTTGAAATTTTGAACAAAAAACTCTCAGTGTTAGAGACATGGGACACCTATAGTGTCATATACCAATAGATTCGTATTGACGAGCCCATTAAGGACATTTGGTGACCTTGGCAGGACAATTTTGGCCACATTATATGTGAAATAAAAAATACCTTAATACAATTTTGAGTTTTACAATATATAGAGAGCCATTTAGTAACAACAGAGAGAACAATATTAAACTTTTTAGTGCTATATCTTAAGCTTATAAAATATATTTTGTGTGCAGACCTGTGATTTTATTTACATTTTATACACACATTATCGCGTATTGGCAGTTTTATTCTTAACATGCCTCTGTTATGCCTGATTCCTTCTGGATAGTTTTTCATACACTATTTTGTCGAGTCTTTACGATTTCTACGTCTTTGGTGAAAAAACCATGGTTAAATCTTGAGAGCAATGTTCAGCTTTAGAAAATTTATTTTGTTTAATTTATGCCAATCGACATACATAAAATTTTATGGAATTTATTTTTCATATTAATTTGAGAAATAGATAATGGCAACACTTTTTAATTTGGAACTCATCTATCAATTTTAAATAAAATGAAAAATAAATTCCATAAAATTTTATGTATGTCGATTGCATATTTTTAATAAATTAAACAAAACATATTTTCTAAAGCTGAACATTGCGCTCAAGATTTAATCATGGTTGTTACAACTTACATTAATAAGTTTTAGAGACAGGGAACCTCAAAATATTTATAAACATAAATTATTTAGCAATTTTTGCCACAGAACACATGTTATGCGTACATTTCGAAGGAAGATATTTTCATTTAAATTTTGATAGGTGAATACTGTCTGTCATGGTATAATAATAGAAGGTAACAGCAAGTGTTGTTGTACAACAAACGATACAACAACCACATGGAAATTTGTTGTTGTACGTTTTACTAGTGTCAACATCATTTGATAGAAAAAATGTAAACAAAATACATACAAAATTAAATACTTTTGGGTGATTTTTAAAAACTTAATTTGTCATATTCATATTGACACAAGGTTTGCGTTGGAATCAAATCACCTGGGATTTGCTGCTACCTTTTATAATTGTACCATGACTGTCTGTTTACGTCATGAACGGCGTTCGCATAAACATGAACGGCGTAAAAAACAAAAATAACAACTGCGGCAAAAAGTGGTGGTTGGCGGTGACTAAAACAAAACAAAACAAATGATATTTTTGACGGTTGCGTTGCATATTTTTTGGAAAGATCAGTTCATTTTTGGCAATTGAAAAAGCACAATCGTACGTCGCAAGAAAAATACAAATTAAGTTTACACAAATAAATAGAATTGTACGTAAAAACAAACTACACACATACATAAAGTTACAAATATTAATAAATAACACAAAGCAACTGAACTATACTACAACACAATATTAAAACTTAAGGCGACCCCCCCCCCCCCCCCTCTCGGTGTCAAAATTTTATTTTTGTATAATTCGAATCTACACTAATTAATGAATGTCCCTACACAATTTCAATTTCAAGTTAAAATCTCAAGAACTCTTGAAGATATAGCCGATATATTGTGTCAGCATCATGTGACGGCTGAAGGGCTTCTCAAACTTTAAACGCGTTTTCTCTAAACATTAGTTTGCGAATGGCGGGCACAATAACTCAAAAACTAATAACACAATCGATTTCAAATTTTTACACGTTTCTCTGTGAGTGTATAGCTATCGTATGAACTAGGATAAAGCCAATCGGTGAAGATCTTCCTTATTTTTTAACTTGGTTTTTCGTCAAAAATCGGCGATTTTCATACGAGAGCCAGACATGTACTCTTTCTAACACCGTTGGAATTTTCGGATTCCGATGTTCCAGTGAGGAGTTATCATGCCCGCCATCAAAAATAAGGACTTTTCTTTAATTACAAAAAAAAAAAACAATAACAAAAATATTTTGTAAATTATTTTTCATCTAAATCTTCAATTATATATTTGCAAAGTTACAAACCTTAAGAAGCATTGGTATTGATTTACCAGCCCATTGAAAATCTTGAAAAATTAAAATCGAGAATGGAGGGTGGGGGAGGTGGGGGTTTCCCTTAAGCCTAAAAATAAATAAAATAACAGCTATAAGTGGATTAACTAAAAACTATAATTTTCCTAATGTAAACCTAAATATTGCAGTGCCCCTAATACAAAATTTGAATTAAAATGCGAAATTTATCTGCATACTGAAAAAAAAACTTTTTGGTGTATGTAATCAAAGAATCAATGTTGTAATTCTTATTAGTGAGTGTGCCTAAGGCTATATGCAGAAGTCCGAAATGCTCGATTTTGGGAGTACACCTGTGTGTATAAAAAATTAATAGACTACTTTTATTTTCTGAATCCTTGTTTTTATTTTCCATTAAACAATGTGGAAAAGTACATTGTTTGTTACTACACACACACACATCGGATGTATGTATGTAATGTTATACCATGATCGCTATCAGAATTACCCACATGAATGAATATAATTTTTTATGTCAGAATTTGCTTTTTCTTCTATTACGTCGAATTTTCAACTTATCTTTCTCCTGAATATACTAAGAACCCATAGCTATTTACCTTTTCATGTTTTCTTTGTTTTTTTTTTATAAAAACAAACATAAATAAATAATTATTAATGGCTAAATTCTTGTTCTGAATTCCAATATGTATGTAGGCAATTTGCACTGCTCAAATTGGTTTGCTATGACACTGCCAAGTTCAGTTCGAGCTATTGTTGTCGTTACTCATTGCACTATAGGTCAATGAC